CAACACGGCTTTAAGAGAATAACATGAGCAAGAAGAAAATATACAGGAGGTCCCTGCCCCAATGACCTTGCAGTCAAAATGCCAGTACGTGTGAGGCAAGAATTAACAAGGAATAAGTGCGCTGGATCGGGTAAAAAGTCACAAATCACCCAGCTGCTTTCATAAAATCTCACAGGCTCGGAAAAGCTCAGAGCTGGCCCTATTATTAGGCAAAGTGAGTAGACCAGGCATAGGCAAACTCAGCCCTCCAGGTGTTTTGGGACTACAATTCCCATCAACCCTGACCACTGGTCCTTAGCTAGGGATCATGGGAGTTGTAGTCCCAAAACATCTGGAGGGCCGAGTTTGCCTATGCCTGGAGTTTGCCTGTGCCCGAGTTTGCCTAACACCTTTGTTAGATAGGCTGTGCCAAAAAAATTCCCCCTGCACATTTTTTGACCATTCTCCATCAATTAAGGAGAAAAGAAATTACACTCTGAAATGATCAAATGGGAGAGAAAGGTTCAGAGAGCTTATCATTGGTATAGGTGTAGGGTTTTTGTTGCTTACCTTTCTCTCAAGGGGGCCAGGGGGTGTTTACGAGTAGTTTCCCTCCCTTTCACTCTAAAAATAAATAAATTCTGCAGCCTTCCTGGGTGGCCTGCACTTCTTTGAAATGTCATGATGACATCAGCTGGGCTTTTCTGTAAACACAGGAAGCTGGGGAGGCTGCCTTCTGGGCACCCAACTCGTGTGTGCATGTGACAAATTTAAAAATAGAGATCAAAGCCAGTCTTCCCTTACTTCAATTACAGCTCTGAGGAAAACGTTGCGAAGTCACTCCTCTCATGCGGCTTTTCCAGATGAGGAAGTATGGTCAGCCAGGGAGGCTGAAATGTGTGGGAGAAAGATTTACTGAAAAGAAATATACCAGCTGGAGCCACCTCACAAGAACAAAGCGAGCTCCAGTCCACACTCACCAAAATTCTGAAGAAATCTAGATGCTCCCTGAGAATGAAGAAAAACAGAAGCCTTTCATTTGGGAAGACATCTTTTGAGAAATTGAAGGACAGGCATCGCTCTTTGCTATTGAATTTATTTGTTGTCCTGGCTGTTTTTATCTTGCCCTGCAAGTGATGTTATTGGACATCCTTACTCTGTTTTATTGTCCCCGGGTCTTGGGGTTGCTTGTCGATGGAAGGCCGATTAAAACTAAACTTAAGTTTGATAAAATAAATGGTGCCAAATGCCATTTTAAATTTGCACGAGGATAAACCGCCCAAACAAAGCCTCACACCTCAATGCTCTGGAGGGCTCGGTAACAAATACCCAAACCGTTTCCCTCTTTGGCTGCACATTTCCCCTTTTGCATAGCAGAAATGGATGTCCTCAGTAGTAAGAAGATGGCGAAAGTTTTGAATAAGGGACATCTGGCAATCCTCTGTGACTAATGATGGGTGAACTCCCTTTGGCTCCTTTTGGAACTCGACTCGGCTAATAGGGTTTAAAAAGAACAAAAAGAAAACCAGAGTTTCCCCACTGTAGAGTTTCCCAAACTCAGGTCTGCTGCTGTTTTTAGACTACAACTCCCATCATCCCTAGCTAGGACCAGTGGCCAGGGATGATGGGAATTGGAGTCCCAAAGCAGCTGGAGACCCAAGCTTGGCAAACCCTGATCTAAAGCCTGGCCAGACATTCTGACCCCCACACACTCGGTGATATGGAAATAAACTGTCCTTACACAGACCACTGCCCTATCTAGTTCAGTATTGTCTACCCTGACTGGTAGCAGCTTCCCAGAACCTCAGGCAGGAATCTTTCCCAGTGTTGCCTGCAGATGCCACATAGAGTGAATTCATGATGAATGTCTGGTCTTTAGCTCGTCCAGACAGGAGGCAGTTTCTGTAACATTCACCCGCATTTATTGTGTGGTCTTATTTGTAGAAAATGACTTCTACGGACTACCTGATCTCAGAGGAGACCACCACAGGAAAGATGGATCCTAGTTGATAGGGGGGAAAGAAAGACAAACTTTGGAGAGTCCGAGTACTAGAAAATGAGAGAGTGCAAAAAGGGGAGCAGCTCTTTAGGACCCTGGTTACCTGGTGTCCAAACAGCTCACTTCTCAGTTACAGCTCTAACTTAGAGCAGACGAGAGCAGCCAGGCTGGTTAATTTCACAGAAACTGCCTAGGATACCTTCACATTTTGCTTCATAACTTTCTTTCTAGGAAGGCTAGAGGTATGCTTTTTTAAAAATAAATAAATGAAAGCTTGAAGTCCGGGGCATCGCGGGTGCAGCATCGACAACCCCTGTCTTTCTTCTGTGTTAATAATGCCATCCACATTTGGATCCTTCAGGCCGTAAAGGTAAAGGGACCCCTGACCATTAGGTCCAGTCGTGACCGACTCCGGGGTTGCGGCGCTCATCTCACTTTATTGGCTGAGGGAGCCGGCGTACAGCTTCCGGGTCATGTGGGCAGCATAACTAAGCCACTTCTGGTGAACCAGAGCAGCGAACGGAAATGCCGTTTACCTTCCTGCCGGAGCGGTACCTATTTATCTACTTGCACTTTGACGTGCGTTCGAACTGCTAGGTTGGCAGGAGCAGGGACCGAGCAACGGGAGCTCACCCTGTTGCGAGGATTCGAACCATCGACCTTCTGATCGGCAAGTCGCCACCTGCATTCCTTCAGGCCATAAACAGGCATATAAATACACCATCACATGTTTAAGCCACCTTATATCCCAGGAAAACTGACATAAATGTTTGCAAATATTGGCATGGCCAAGGCTGGCACGAACCTAGAGCATGTTTTGAGAGTAACGGTTGAGAAGCAGCCTATGCAATTCACTGCTCTGGGTTTATTCAAGGAAAGGTAATATTCTGGGATAGTTGGACAGTTCCATCAAACTCCACACAAGACTCCCTATGAAAAAATATCCGCAATAATGGTTGATAGAATATGAACCTCGGGCTCTTTCAAATGTATCAGTAATAAGATGGTCAGAAATGATCATGCATTTGAAGCCTAAGGCAATATTGGTAATGGCTCGCTGTCACAAAAGAGACAGAGAAGCAGGCTAACAAATTCAAGAGGCTCTTAAAAGTCAAATACTCGCTTGCTTCCTCTTAAGGTAGAAGGTTTTTTAAAAAAAGAACCAGAAAATCTGGGGGGAAATATGCTGTTTTTATAGCACAACACAGTTGGCAATCCTTCACTTTCGCAAAGTGTGGGTTGGAACATGCCTGACTAACGATTAATGATGCTCATTAAAAAATGAAGTTCTGGTAAAATTCATTAATGCTTGGCTTGAGTCTTGCTAACAGTTACGCAACATTAAGAGCAAGGCAATTACAGATCTTGGCTGCAGCTCATCAGGAGATAAGCGGGGTGGGAGAAGAGAGAATAATACCTTTTTTCCTGGGTAACACAAGTGTACGATACGTGGGTTTTCTCGAAAGCGACTCGAAAGAGCAGCATGGTAGAGATACTTGCCATCTGGAACTAGTTCCTAGAGGTTGCCCTAGGACAGGCATAGGCAAACTCGGCCCTCCAGATGTTTTGGGACTACAACTCCCATAATCCCTGACCACTGGTCCTGTTAGCTAGGGGTGATGGGAGTTGTAGTCCCAAAACATCTGGAGGGCGGAGTTTGCCTATGCCTGCCCTGGGAAAAGTGTGGCTATAGCTCAGGGTAGGACGATGGTTTAATCCCTAGCATCCTCACTTATTAAATGGGACAGGTAGCAGATAATACTAATGATGATGATAATAATAATAATACTAATAATAATACTAATAATAATACTACTACTACTAATAATAATAATTTATTTATATCCCGCCCTCCCCAGCCGAAGCCAGGCTCAGAGCGGCTAAGAACAATAAAATGATACACATTCTAAAATCATTTCATTATAAAATTAATTCAAATCAGATTAATGGCAACCAACTGGGCTAGGGTTCTGTGAGGATTGCCAAAGGAGGGAGTCAGGCTGTGCCTTGGCCAAAGGCCTGGTGGAACAGCTCTGTCTTGCAGGCCCTGCAGAAAGATGTCAAATCCTGCAGGGCCCTAGTCTCTTGTGACAGAGCGTTCCACCAGATGACAGTAAAGGCTTTGGGGCCGAAACCCTGGGCTTCCTTCACGCTCGGACCTGGAAGCTGCCAGAATGCTGCAGCAAAATTGCAGGCAGCAGTGAGAGCCCATCAGCAGGTTAACAGCTTTGCCTGGAAACCTGCACCGAGTTGCCAATCTGCTACCAGGCCAAATTCAAGGTGCTGCTGTGTGTATGTAAAGCCCTTACTGGCTAGGGACTAGTTTACTTGCATTATCTTACCTTGTATATGTCAACGCTTCAATTTGTGGAACTAGCACTGTTAAATGTGCCACAAAATATTATTTCCACACTTGTAAGAAATAAGATATTTTGGTGTGGCAGCATCTGCACTCTGGAAGTCCTTGCCTATTGGACATCAGGCAGGCGCCTTCACTGTGCTTTTACAGCACCTGCTAAAAACCTTTTTTCTTTAGGCAAGCCTATCTAGATACAGTGGTACCTCGGGTTATATATGCTTCAGGTTACAGACTCCGCTAACCCAGAAATAGTACCTCGGGTTAAGAACTTTGCTTCAGGGTGAGAACAGAAATCGTGCTCCGGCGGCACGGCGGCAGCAGGAGGCCCCATTAGCTAAAGTGGTGCTTCAGGTTAAGAACAGTTTCAGGTTAAGAACGGACCCCTGGAACGAATTAAGTACTTAACCCGAGGTACCACTGTAAGTAGAAACTGTTGTGTGTCTTAACCTGGTGTTAGCTTATTTTCAATTTTAAATATTGTTGGAATTTTTGGGGGGATGTGTGTATTTAGCTGGGATTTTATTTTTTATTTTTGTAATTTTATTGGTTTTCTCCTTTTCGTAAGCCGCGTGGTTTAACTGGTAGCAAGTAATGTTTGTCTTGACCAAGGCTTGCCACAAGTTGCAACAACCAGAGGTAAAACAGCCACCCGGACAAAACTCATCACTGCAGTTAGAAACCAGCTTTATTGTTACAACCAATTTTGAATTATTTACATAATATAAATCTCTTTGCAAGATACATTCCTTCATTGAAATCAATAGTAAAAGGCCTTGTTACATAGCTCCAACAATGCTTAGCTTAAAAAGAAATACATTTCACTCCAGTACAAGCCAATGAACAGAATGCACAATTTAATTCCATTCATAACATACAGATGAGGTTACTTTTCTCCTTTCCTTAGACAGGCAAACCCATTATATTCACAGGACAAGATTGGACTCACAGACATAGGTTTAGAAGTGTAATGGGACAAAGAAAGTTACAGGAAGTGCTCCAGGTGTGCTGTTGTCAGAGATAAGGACAGTGGGCCTCAAGGGAATACCCCTTCAATGCTCTTTTTAATTACCTGAGGTACCAGAATATTTTCAGTGCTGAGACAGTTAAGTACCAAACTATCATGGCCTTTGAAGATGGGCAGCTGCATAAAAAAAGGGCATCCCAGAAAACATGAGGAACTTTTTACACCCATGTTGCATGGAAATTGAGGTCTAGCCAGTTACATTGCTGAGTTATGGGCACTTTGTGACTGGGGTCTACTCCTGACCCTCATTTCCCCAGCGGCCGTGATGCATTTAATAGTGTTCCAATATTTCCTCCTTTTGCCCTTAAGAAATCACCTTTGCTACAGGCACTTTTGGCTTGCAGTGCTTTGCAACCCGACTTAAGTGCTTTATCACATCCCTTCGAATCCAACCTGTGAATTAGTACTGCCATTGTTCAGATGCAGAGCAATATGAAATAATTTACTCAGGACCATCTAGAGGAGATTCTCAATTACTATTGGCTGGCTTCCAAAGGGCTGTCAAAATGGCAGATTCCCAAACAATCTTAACTCCCTATATTTATTCGTCTTCTAGCACACCACGAGATCAAGTTGATTCTATTGCCATGAGAAAAGCTGGATGTTGTGTAGCAATTTTACAACAGCTGGCACCAAGGTGTTTCTGGGAGAGTGGTCAGTAATGGGGTTTTTTGGGGGGGCAAGCAGGGGAACATGTCACTGAAATCAGAAGATAGTACAATGTGATTATCAGTGAATAATGCTATTTGCTTAGTCAAGGTTGGTAACAGATATTTTGGTAAACTGTCACCAAGCTAGCATATATTAAGGTTGTAGAACCACTTTGGAAAAACAAAATGCCCTATCAAGTTTTTCTTTTCATGGACATTGGCAAGGAATTGACATATGCACTTTCCTCATTCCAGAGGTCTACGTACTAAAAAGATACTGGCTTGATGGGGCACCATCTGGCTGTATCACTTTTGAGTGTCTTCCTCGTTATTCTAGGACTGCGATTATCAAAAAAAATCCAGGCTCAATATGAACGCAGCAATTATGCCCTTAATTCACAGTGCCAAGTTCAAAGCACCAACATGTGAGGTGCTTGAAACTACAACAGGAATAAAACTGCTTGCCATTCTACTACGGGCAGTTGTAAACTATGTAGAGGACTTGGGACTAGCAGATAAAACTGCTCAGGCCAAGCTTGGGGGGTGGGGTGGAATCAAATATTGTGAAATAAATATTTGAGATAGGCTCAGCTGAATCGAACGCAAGTCCGCATGGACGAAGGTTTTACCAAAGAAATGGGATCAATTATTTACAGATTTTGCTGCAACAGAAAGAAAAAGCTAGTCCGGAACACATGCAATGTCAACAATCTTCAAGGATGCCACCATTTCTCCTTCCATATATATATGAGGCTTTATTTTTTACCCCAGAACATCAATGTGTGCCAGTTTGTAAAAAACGTTATGAATAACTAAGCAAGCTTAGATGCAAACTGGAGTTCTTCTAAGCAATTTAATGAAATATTTCATCTCATTTGCTTCTAGTACCTGCAACCAAGTTATAACCATGTCAGAACACAGAGCAATAATATATAGGGTTTCCTTTTTCTATTGCATTAGACCCGTCTGATGTTTCTGCCATTTACATCACAGGGCCTCTGTCCTGAAACCAACTTGCACAAGCTTTTTCTTCAGCAAAAGCCAACGACCCATGTGTTGATGAACCATAACGTTTTTAGGAATTAAGTTGGCCTTGGAATGGAGCTTCACAATTCACCTCACATAAGCATTTCCCTCTCCAACTGGCCAATCTGCTTCCCACTGGAACAGTAGGCATTGTGAGTTAAAGCCAACTATTGTACCAACTCATTTTCAGAATGATTACTTCCTCCAAAGTAAATGCGTGAACATGAAAGCAGACACCACGGGCACAATGAGAAAGATGCATTATGAAAGCTAATGTGGTTACCTCCTGGTACTATTATTTTGTTCCCAAATGTCGTTTTCCCCTTTGAATGTGGTCAATTTAACAATAAGGTCAGCACATTTCGGATTTCTCTTTACATACATCAAAATTTCTACAAAAGGAGAGTACAATGAAATACATGAGTTCATAAATGCGAGGTACCATACAATTCACACTAATTTACAAATGGTTATTTACACTATTGTATATACACAGTCAGATCCGGTTACTGTGAATCAGTTCGCTAAGCCATCCGCAAAATTCACCAAGAGAACCCCAGGCCAGAGTTCAAAACAATGCAAAAAATAAAAATCACCATCATTACCTAGGATGCTTTGATGTTTGGATCAATCAGGCATAATGATTAACCTGGTCTGATTGCCAAACTGTGAAGTAGAAGAAGGAAAAGAAAATCACGCAATTCTGCTTTACAAAAGCTACTAGGCCACTACGGTCTGTCAGGTGATGTTACACAGGGCTGAATGCCACTTCTAAGAACCCTCTTCACGTTTTCAGTATTTTATTAGTGTCGTCGGTGACGGCATTCAGAATCAATAGCTTAACGGTGAAGGCAACAGAATAGATTTTGGCAAGTCACAGCCAGAATTACATGAGGTTGTTTCTAGAGCTCTGGAAAAAAATAAGAGTTCAAATACTTGATAAATGTGAACAAGTTTGGGGTTTTCGGGGGGGGGGGGGAGGGCAGTTCTAATTTAATGACAAGACCACCACCCTTCTAACTGAGATTAGAACAGGACAAGACAGTGTCGTGTTAAAGAGGCAAAGAGCTAGTTTAGAAAATGAGAACCAATTTTCTCTCCATGGCACCATTACATTTGTACAAGGCCTGTGTCAGAATTATTTTAATAGTCTAAATCCATGATGCAGAAGATGCCATACCAAGTAGACCTTTTTCCCCCTCAAAGTAGTGTTTCACAAAGAATAGGCTCTCCCTACTTGTTATTTTATCAATGCTTTTATGGAGTTAAATTAGTGGGTGTTCCATTTCCCTGTTCAACCTGGAACATGCCAAATGCAATGGCACAGACCAGCTTCATATCACTTAATGACCTTACAACAGCAAAAATGAAAATAATGGGAATGTAGTTAGCGCCTCTTTCTTATGATTTGACATCCTTGTGATCAGCAGCTACCTTGGAGATGTACACAGATTTTGGAAAAAAGCAATCACCAGAGAAGCATTTTTATTCACCAGGGATGTGCTTGCCTTTAACATCTGGGAAATATATATTGCTGCCTGATGATACTTTAATTTGCTACTACTGGAAATGCTGATTATAGGATGATTCACAATACTGCTTTTTGTCCGCTTTGTACAGCAGCAACTATAGAGGGGCATAGAAAAAATTCATCAAGTCAGCCAAAATATCGAATACCAAAGAAGAAATCCACACAGTTGGATGATGCCCACCTGTGAGATCGCACATCGCAAGAGTGGACACCAAGGTCTAAAAATAAGTTTCATGAAAACTGGAGAAGAAACAGGGAGACCGGGGGGAAATGAACTGTTCCCTCAAGGCAGGAGGAAAAAATTGAGATTCAGCCTGCCTCCCACAATTCTTTGCTCCTGCCTCGGTCACATAGTGAGGTCTAGCAAATATAGTAACACAAGGCAGAAATACAACCAGCCACTTATCTCTTCTATAGAACTCAGTATTTGTCAAGAATGGAGGCAGCCTGGGTCATTCTTTACTACCCAGAAAAACGAAGAGCTCAACTGTCTTCCAGCAGATGCAACAAGCCCTCTGAGAGAACACTGTGATCTGTCTCGCCAATTTCAAAAGTAGCCATTAACAAGTATTTCTTAAAATCTGTGAGTGGGAAGAACTAGTTCCTGCATCCAACAATGTATGGCAATTTTTGCTTTAAAAGCCTTGTACACTTTGTTGAAAAACATTAAGGTTTTCAAAAATAGTAATTTAATTTTAATTTAATTCATCCTGTACCCAAGACTAATGATTTTAGAATAAGATGCCATTAAAGACTACGAAAAAGCAAGGAGGACCAGACCTTGGTAAAGAAATTCAGTTTTTGCAAGAGAGATTTACTCTGTGCTGACTTTTTCTAGAGCTCCAGCAACATCCTTGACCTGATAAATTACACTTTCCTCTAACTAGTTAGGTCAACACTGAACATCAAGAGAAGCTGCCCAATTTAAGAAAGTATATCAATAAGTGCTTAAAAAAAACTTATTAGAAAGTATAGATATCATAATCCACTAGTATTAAAAAGTTTTAATAGTGACTAGATTTGAATGCAGCCTACTGCCTAGTGATTAGTTCCACTGTCCAATGGAACTACCCCCCAGCAGGGCATTTGAAGATTGTGGCTTTAGAAACGAGATAATTAGACACCTCAAAATGTGTAAAACCATGAGATTATTTACAGAAAGAAACAGAAAAATCATTCAGTGATCTTTGGGGTGAACTTTTCATCCTTGTTAATTGCTGTATGTATCATTAAACAAGCCAGGCTTATTTTAGCCAATGTTTAATTTACAGAGTACTATAAAATAATTCTGAATAAATATCCTTGCTGAGTCTGTGCAACAGGCTCCCCGTAATATTTCTTAAGGTTTATTTGGGTTTACATATACTGCGTATGAACACAGACTTTGTACAAATGGGCACTTAAGTGGCCAAAGTGAAGTGTTTCAGACTAACAGAGTTGACTGTGTGGCAATTCAACTCAATGCAGTGACTTTCAAAGTTTAAAGCCTTTTACCCTACCTTCGAAGACACACACACACACACACACACACACAGCGCGTCAGCTAAGTAAACATTTGTTTTTCATTTCACATTTCTGAAATTCAAACCATTCTTGGGTAGGATAGCTTTCGAAAGAAAAGGAAAGAAACGTGATTGTGATCAAATCCTCACTCTTCAAACGCCATCTATTTCAAGAATGATCTTGTAACTTCGCGGCTTTGTGCTGGCCACAAGCTTGCCACCATCCAGCAAAGCAAAGGAGGCAACCTACCAAATAACAGATCTAATGACCGAAAAGGAAGCAGGGTAAGAACAGATTATCAACGAAACATGGCAGAGTTTTGCTCCCAAACGCTACAGGACTGCTCGGCGGCTTGTCCTGTTAGCTCCTTTTTGCGTCTCTTATGAACATGTATAGTCCCTAGACTACATGCCAAAGCGTTCAAAGAGTTTTTTGGGGGGGTGGGGAATAAATCATTTTTTAAGGGAGGGGAATGACAATGACACTCTGGAACAGTGGTCATTTAAAGCTTGCATTTGAAGCTAGAAGCTGCCTCCAACAGGATGAAAGCATCTACAGTAACTATGTGGTGGCATGTTTTTCTTCATGAGCGAGCAGACCTCTGTAAAAAAAATTCATCTGTATGTTACGTAAGAAGGATGTCCAGTCTTTTTTCACAGTACTGAGGTAGAGCTTGGAGAAATATCAGCATGGGAATTACCTCCCATCCTCTCCTAGCAACCCAAGTCAGCACCAATGAATTGCACTTTAATGCAAACTGCTTCTGTTCATGTACAGGTTTTGCACACAGTCTGCAAGAGCACTGAAGTTGCTCTTAAGTTAATGTCAATGTAACATAAGATGTACGAAGTCCTTCACAGTATCAGAGCCCACACCCCCTCCTTTGAAGAGAACTGATGAAAAGCAGCAATGGAATGTTAAATTCATAATAAATAATTCACATTTCACGTTAAAAATTACAAGAGAAAAGATTAAATTTGCTCTCCCTATGCTTTATAAATCTAATGCTTCTATTCCTTCTACAACAGCAGTAAGATCCTCATTTTAGGTTTAACATTAAGAGATTGTTGTTTAGAGGCAATGAAAAGCAAAAAACCACCATAGGAACGATACAAAACTAACAAATGTTTAGCTTTTTCCATTATCTGTACTCGGATGAAAAAAAAAACTTTAAGGAATAATCTGATCCAGATGTAGATAACTGAAGCTCTCAGTTGTTACTCAGGAAGTTTTAATGTCATGACTTCATTTTTCATTTTGAAGTACTGATTGAAGCGAACAATTGCATACCTATTAGAGGAAATAAAAAATGTTAAATCATGTCTTACTGCCTTTGTGGCACAATTAACATGACTCTACTTACAAGCTTTTTGCAGTTAACTTTAGTTTTTCCTGCCATCTAGTGGTTATAGAATGCCTTGCATATTTGAGAAACTTAGTTGTCATATGCGGGTAAGTAGCTAAAAGGTATTTCATGCCAAAATGGAAGTCAGGCCATAATGCTTCATTCAGGGGTTGGTGGATTCAGGTTTCCTTTTTGAGACATTTCAAGCACAAAACAACTACTTAGGCTAATAAATTCAACCCAGATAGCACCACGGCCCCTACTCTGTAACGGCAAAACACTGGAGCTGCAGGTTTTGATAAATGCTTATTTAACTGGCATTTACACAGAGTTCGCACAATGCAATCTTAAGCATGGTTACTCAAAAGTCCCGGTAAGTTCAACATGATTTACCTAATAGCAGGTGTGCTTAAGAACACAGTTCATATACATTGCCTTGTTGTAATCCTAAAAGGTAAAGGGACCCCTGACCATTAGGTCCAGTCGTGACCGACTCTGGGGTTGCGGCGCTCATCACGCTTTATTGGCTGAGGGAGCCGGCGTACAGCTTCCGGGTCATGTGGCCAGCATGACTAAGCTGCTTCTGGTGAACCAGAGCAGCACACGGAAACGCCATTTACCTTCCCGCCGGAGTGGTACCTATTTATCTACTTGCACTTTGACGTGCTTTCGAACTGCTAGGTTGGCAGGAGCAGGGACCGAGCAACGGGAGCTCACCCCATTGCAGGGATTCGAACTGCCGACCTTCTGATCGGCAAGTCCTAGGCTCTTTGGTTTAACCCACAGTGCCACCCGCGTCCCTGTTGTAATCCTAACCACCCCATAAACCTTAATTAGTACTGTTAGCCCTATGCTGCAGATGCAAAGCTAAGTGTCACATGTTAGGTCACCTACAGAGTTCATGGTAAAGGCAAGATTCAAAACAAGGACTTCCTCAAGGCTCCTAGTATGCTATAGCAACTCTTAAAAAATTAATCTACTGAGATTAATCTTGGTTTAGCTGATTAACTGGAGAGGGGTCAGTTCTAATTTGTGGGGGCTAAGTTCAGTACATTTTTTAAAAGGGTGTTTTGGATGTTCAGCGACTGACAGGAATGCAAGAAAGTATTAAAAATTGCTTCCAGCACACGGAGCATTGTTTTTTTATAAACCAAAATAGTTAATATTGGTCACTGTTACAGAATACTGTAAAAGGCAGAACCAAAATTTCTAAATTCCAATTTGAAGAAGAGTAGCACACAAAGGATATAGAACAAAAGTGAGCAAATCCAATTATAAAAGTAAAGGTAAAGGTAACCTGACTGTTAGGTTGTCGTGGCCGACTCTGGGGTTGCGGTGCTCATCTCGCACTATAGGCCGAGGGAGCCGGCGTACAGCTTCTGGGTCATGTGGCCAGCATGACTAAGCTGCTTCTAGTGAACCAGAGCAGCGCACAGAAACGCTGTTTACCTTCCCACCAGAGCGGTACCTATTTATTGCACTTCGACGTGCTTTTGAAGTGCTAGGTGGGCAGGAGCTGGGACTGAGCAACGGGAGTTCACCCTGTCACGGGGATTCAAACCGCTGACCTTCCGATCAGCAAGCCCTAGGCTCTGGGGTTTAGACCACAGCGCTACCCACATCCCAATCCAATTATAGTCACCTATATATCAACCAGTTTGATATACCAACTACCACCACCTTTGGTAGTAGGAAATTTTACTTTAAACAATTAGGCAGTTAAACTGTGGGTAGCTATTCGTCTTAAACACTCTACAGTACAAGAAAACAAAACTAGTTATATTTCAGAAACAGCACTTCAAAATTCTGCATGTCAAACCTGATAGTCCTCTTTACAGAAGCAGCACTAGTCAGAGGTTCACAGGCAACAGAAACACTTGTAGACTAAGTTACCTACCCAAGAAAATCGAAGTCAATTGTGGAGTATTTGGCTTGAATCAGGGCCCACAATCCCCAGAAGAAGTGAGAGGCCTACACAAAAAAAACACACAATGAGGGTTAACACACACTTTATGTCCGTAACAAGAAAGTTATGCTACTAACTCATTAGCACTGTTAGAACGGACTTGCTGTTAATTGACTAGCTATGCATTGCAACACAAGAACTCTTGAACACTTAACATAGCCTTGTCTTATTGGATTTCAGGGTATCTGAGTTTGATAAATTTACCAATGATTTCACCATCTCCCTTCCTCCTCAAAGGAACTGAAAGGAGTCCTCTGATTTTTAAACGCCCCAAAATATAACATTATTAGATTTTAATCCCACCCTGTATTTCAAGGAACACAAGGCAGCAAGCAATACCAATATATTAATTTTTAACCAAGTAGCCTTACAGCGAACAATTTCAAGGTTGCAAACAACAAAATCAAAACCATGACTTACAACTACCAATGGAATGCCACCTTGGGGGGAAAATCCACTTCCAACTTACTCAGTTACTGTGTGACACAAGTGGTTTGTGGGTGTATGTTAAACATTAAACCACAGCTATAATTTACCCTACTGCTAATGCGTCCCTACTGCAAAAGACACAGGAGAAAAGAGGCTGTTGCTAGAGACCTTCAGGAGAGAAACACAGGGAAGGACGCCAGGTAAAAATGGGATGCAAGCAACAGATGAGAGCATTTAAAGGCCAAGGCTGAAGAGAACCATCTCAGATGAAGGAAACAAGAGTGCAGCTGAGGGCTTCAAGGCAACTCTTCCTCAACTTTCTTGTGCACTTCCTGCCTTCAGTCACTACCCTTTTATGAATAAGCTGGAGGAGCCCACCTCCACACCCAGAGCTTTATGCCAAGCAGCCTGAACATGAATCAAAGAAAGGCAAGTGTGTTCTCTTAGTTGCATTCAGCCCATTAAGTGTTCTTGCGCAGGGAAGAATATTCCCCCAACAACCGTGACGTTTACAACAATGATGTCAGGACACAAATACATATCCCAACAGATTAGGTTTCGCTGTATAGTATTTTCCTTTTGCAGATTCCTGTGGCCTTTCCTGGATCTTGTCTCATGTAGCAGTGAGATGGCCCAAGAATATTTTATTTCACATTTCAACGATCTAGAGACAACTCTAAGCCACTCATTTGTGTGCAAAACAGCTGCCAACCCAAAAGATCTGTAGAAGCATTATGTAACATTCATACTACGTGTATGTATTACCGTAATTACTCGAATGTAATGCATTTTTTGGCCAAATTACATCGCAAAAATTAGGGTGCGCATTAGATTCGCGTAAATACAGTACAGTGGAACCTTGGTTTTTTAATGTCTTGGCTGCCAAATGTTTTGGAAGCCAAACACCAAAAACCCAGAAGTGAATTCTTCCCGTTTTCAAACGGCTTCATAGGCGCATTTCTCAATTTTCACCACAGACTTTGCCAACAGCCCTTTGATCCTCGGTTTTCGACCGTTTCAGAAGTTGAACGGTCTTCTGGAATGGATTACGTTTGAAAACAGAGGTTCCTCTCTCTCTCTCTCTCTCTCTGTGTGTGTGTGTGTGTGTGTGTACAGTGGTACCTCGGGTTAAGTACTTAATTCATTCCGGAGGTGCGTTCTTAACCTGAAACTGTTCTTAACCTGAAGCACCATTTTAGCTAATGGGGCCTCCTGCTGCCGCTGCGCCGCCGGAGCAAGATTTCTGTTCTCATCCTGAAGCAAAGTTCTTAACCTGAGGTAATATTTCTGGGTTAGTGGAGTCTGTAACCCGAAGTGTATGTAACCCGAGGTACCACTGTACTACCTAAATTGAAAGAGTTTATCTGAAATTAAGCCAAAGAAATCTTAAACTTACCAGAGCAAACTGGTTGACTTGGACGTAAAGCACCTCAACCTCTTTCTCAGTCACATCTGTCCCAAATCCTTTATACTCCTTGTAGGCTTCCAGGTAAGATCTCAGCCACTGCTCTTGCAGTTTTCGGCTTGGATAGAGGCTATAGTCCACCTCACTCACACCTAAGAGACAATTGTTTTTGGTTTTTTAAAAAAGCCTAGTATTTCCAGAAATGTTTCTTAGTGCACTGTCATTAACTAACATGCATAACAGATGTGTGTGTCCTGGTGTTAGAAGTCATAACAAGGAACATAAAGAAAATTAGAGTACAGTTGTACCTTGGTTTTCAAACAGCTTAGTTCTTGAATGTTTTGGCTCCCAAACGCCGCAAACCCGGAAGTGACTGTTCCGGTTTGCGAACTATTTCGGGAAGAACATCCAATGCGTCTTCCATGGCTTCCGATTGGCTGCAGGAGCTTCCTGCAGCCAATCAGAAGCCGCGCTTTGGTTTCCGAATGTTTTAGAAATTGAATGGACTTCCGGAACGGATTCCGTTTGACTTCCAAGGTACAACTGTACATATATCGAGGCAAAATACATTATGATTTTTCAGTACTAAAGCATGCAAACTTTTTGCTCTACAAAAACATGCACCTAAATGGATGATACTCCTGTGTGGCAGAACCAAGTGTATGCTTTATCTATGGCTGTTAACTTTCACTTGTTCTCTGTCTTAGGACCAATGAGACCAGCGCTCAGATCCCTGCTAAGCCATGAAGCTTGTTGGGTGACCTTGGGCCAATCACTATCTCACAGCCTAACCTACCTCTCTCAGGATTGTTGTGAAGATGAGAGAAACTATGCCACCTTGAGTTCCTCGGAGGAGAAGTGGATTATAACTGATAAATTTAAAAAAGTGATAAAGGGTACAGGAGGCTAAAAATGTTAGGATTCTTGCTCCATGTTTGCAGTCACGAGATTGTTATCTATCACATGACGGTGTATGTTTTCATTCCACAGTGTGGGAAGTGATGGAGACAGGATGTTTATGTTACTGTGTTCCGTGAAGTGGGACTATTGTCCTTTGTTTCTTTTTCTCTTTGCTGTCTGATGAGAAAGAGGAAGGAGTCAAGTCAGAATGCTCCGAGTGTATTATATGTAAATAAAAGTAGATTAGCCAAGATGCTGTGCTACTGAGTTCTGTTACGCAAACTGCAAATACTCTGCAGGATTGTAAATGTGCTTATGCTTTTTGGTATCAGCTGCTGTGATGTTCGGGCTGAAGGAAGCTTTTGAAGCTCCTGAACGACAAACCAGGAGGGAGAGAACTTGCCAGTCGGGCATGTGTCTCTGCCAGGGTCCTACACGCGAGTAGGACGAGCCTAACAAAAAACCACATAGCCAATGACGTATGACCTGCTCAGCCACTTCTTCTGCATGGTGGGATCATTGAGAATCATGGGGATCTCGAAACATCGTCTCCTCGAGTTTTTATAAGATTCTGTATCTGTGTTCAAACCCCACAGTGGGATCCTTCCTCCAGTCCCACTTCAGCCATTGGACTGAGGAACTGGGTGGAAGGGAAGGGGAGTAGTAAGGATCACTGCTCAAAATGGGAAAGGAGAGTGAACACCTGAACAGAGACATATTTAGGCTTGGCATACGTCTGAAAAATTGCGGACATTACGGAAATGAGACACATAAAATGGAGTCCAGGGGGGGAATTTTGAATGTTAAGAGATCTCCAGAATTTCCCCAACGTATGGCAACCCATTTCCCCCCATTTTCTGCTTTTGGGGGTTTGGGGTTTTTTGTTTTGTTTTTCTCCCAGGGGAGGCTGAGCCCCAGTGGCAGTGGAAGTGACAAGAGGTCACTTCCCTTGGCAGCGGCGGCGAAGCAGCGGCCTAGCCGCCCCTAGCATGGTGAAAAAGGGACCCCGTGCCAGGTGTATCCTGCAGGCGGCTCAGTCGTAGCGGCAGTGGCAGTGAGGGACTGCAGCTGGGAGCTCGGGAGCTCCTGGAGCAGCCACCCCGCCCAAGGGGGTTGAAGTAGTGGTGTTGGTACAGTTTGCCCACCGGTACATGGCAGCAGGCGTCTTCTTGTGTTGCCAGGGTAGGCTGCAGCTGCTCAGGGTCTGCAGCATCATAGAGGTAAAGATGAGGCCCGGGCAGATAACGTGTGTGTGTGTGTGTGTGTGTGTGTGTGTGTGTGCGCAGGAAAGAGTTTAAACAAGATCTGGATAGGCCTGGATAGCGACGGGCAGCAAACTATGAGGAAGCGGAACAAAACCCGCTGTGGCAAGTTTGAGGTTGTGGGAGGGGGAGAGAGGTGGAGGCGCCTCACTACATGTTTCTAAGGGTTGTTGGGGGCCTGAGCAGCTGGGTGGGGTGTAGTAGTGAGGAATGTAAGGTGGGGGGCTATGTTGGAAAAGGGGATGCAATAGGACCTGGCCATTTTTGTTTTTTCCCGGGAGGGGTTTCCAGAGGGGTTTTTTTCTTCTAGGTTTCACCCCCTTTCTTTCCCTGCTAGAAGAATTGGCTCCTGAATATGCTTGGGGGAGGGTGGTTTTTTGTTTGTTTTTAGTGATTTCCTAAAAAACCCCACAAAAAAACACATCAATGACTTTGGGGGTGTCAGGAATTTTACTTTTTGAAATATTGCAAGCCTAGACATATCAATCTCAATATTAACAACTAATCCAGATCTCAACAACAGAGCTTTAAATGAGACGTAATATAAGCAAACCAGCTAAGCTACCTGCAAATTCATTGAAGTGGTTCCCAATGTCATAAGCCAGGTAATTGTATCCACAATACTCATAGTCAATGAACTTAACGTCACCTACACGAGACACAAAAAATAAATTTTGTAAGAGTAAGCACAAGGCAGTACCCCAAAGCTTCACTGTGTCTTTAACCACTTGCCAGTGTGTCAGCCTGTTGTGCTCAGATGCATGCACTTTAAGACATTCAAGGTTAGGGCTGTGTTTTTGTTTGTTTTAACAACTTTAATAAAGATATATACTGACCACAGTCTCACTAGAGAGCTTAAGATCTCTAATCATCACATTTGCTTTTCTGCCACCAGGGGCATCAGTAATGAACATATAATACTTGTCTGATTAGCTAGCATCCTTACTGGGTGTTTGTTTTTTAATGCAATGCTAGTAATTTTGCACAAGGGAATGTGTGCTACGCTATTTTGTATAGCCATTTCTTCCTTCACACAAGACTGAGCGCTTTAAAGAGTTTTTATTTTATTTACATTTCGGCACATATTCTCCCTGGCAAATTATTCTAAAGTATCAGAACAAAAAAGCTGCATAATCCATTATAAGAGACAATACTGAGAGAGGAATTCAGTAATCTTTCAATTAAGCTTTCCTCACATTTTAAACTAAAATTTTGAAGAATTCTAGTAGCACCATTAGAGTTTCAAAACAATTTGGAAAGAATGGATATACATCTCAAACCTTGAAGACTTTTGAGTGGGAGAGACTAGCAGTATGACTGATTAGGGGACAATACTGGGTTGTGATGGGAAACAACATTTTGTTGTTAAACCTGGTGCATTTGGTGTTCCCACTGCATGAACATTTTGCTAGTAAGCCTTATCTGCACTACAGAAATGAAATAGATCTAAATCAAGTTAACTTATAGTTCTGGAAGGGAATTATTGTTCTGTAAGGGGGCCAGGAATCTCAGTCTCTCCATAACTACAGTTTTTAACAGGATTCTTTGGGTGACGTGATGACCGTTAAGTTATAAAACCAATACAGGATTGTAGCATATATATTCCCTTAAGAGTTTACAAGAAAGTTTTTAGACTATACTTTAAATCAATGGAGTTTCTACGGAGGCTCCCACACCAATGCATTAACAGCAAGCTTGCAGACAAATCATTTAGACCCTACTGGCAAATCATGAAACTAGTTGTTGTAGCCTCTAAATGAATGCCATTTCCTAAAGTACTCAACTTGTTTCATAAAGATATACTAGTAAAAAAATCAATTCTGGTTTAAATCTCGTTTTGCCCAAACACATTGTTTTAATGCATATGTCCACAATAAAGATGACAGGTGAAAGGCCTGCATATACAAAATGTAAGACAGTTATTTAAAGATAAACATTGTTTGGATTCAAGCTTATATACATTAAAATATAGGTCTGCAGTGCCATCATCACCACCAGACAACCCTTGCTTTTATTCAAATGCTAATTTCCAGGAATAATTAACAGTATTACAAAATAAGAAAATGAAGCTAAGATACAGATGAGGCTGTTACCAGGCTCCGTGCTCTCCTAGGGGGGAGGTGCATGCGAACAAGTGATGCGATAAACCTCCAGTCAGTGCCTTTAAGTAGCACGGTGCACGCCGCCACTTGGCAGCAACAATGGCATACCTAATCTGTAGCAGATGAAGAAAATTTGGCAAACTCATATTTGACAAGACACAAAACTTTAAAGAGAAAAGTTCTGCATTTCACTGGTCCTCCTGTTCTAGACTGACATCACAGTGGAACTCAGCCTTAAATTTTAAGTTTTGCAAGAAATACAAATGTTCAAGATGCACTGCTCCCTTCGATTTTGGGGCTTCAATGAAACTTGGGTGTTGGCAAGCGTAATTTCGTCCGTCCCCTGTCCCGTCCCCCCATGTTTGTGCCATGCTGTTTTTAAAGTAAGTTTATTTATAGTTTCCTTTTTTATCAAATAAGCATTTCAACAAATAAATTAAAACAATTCTCACCTATCAAACCTCTACTTCCATCCCTCTCAACGGTTCCATGAATTTTCCCTCTTTTTTTCTTCTATATAACCCAGTTATTTCTATTTATTCTTTCCCTCATCTGTTTCATCTATGTTTCGTAATTTCAATTTTTAATCATAATGCTCTTCAACTGTATGGCAGAATCAGTAAGCATGTTTTTCTTGAAGGGCAGCTATTCTTTCTAACAATGTGGCAAGATGAAATTAACTACTTTGAAACATTCTTCTCATTATATCAAAGAGGTATCATTACAACTTAAAATGTGAGCAAAGACTGTAGACACTTAAAATATCACTTCTTGAATGCCTGATTTTGTGACTAGTAGGTTGAATTCAATGCAGCGCAAGCAACCGGGGGGAACTGGGTGGGAGCAGCTGACACAATTTCCCCTTCCACCCTGCTCTACACCCAGGCTTGGTACCCTGACTGGAGTTGGGAGAGCAGGGAATTCTCTTTATGCTCACACTGCATTGAATACAAACCAACCCTTTCAAGAGCCTCAAATGAAAATCAGAAGTAATCCTAGCTGTTCCATAACAACTGCGGCTTTGAAATGGTGAACAGCTTCTCAGGACAGTTCTACCAGAAAGAAAAACTAGGAAATGGGACAGGGAGATAAATAAATGCACTTGGATTTAGAGTCAGTACAGAGACTACTGCAGCAGTATACTATATTATTGCTGGGAGAGTGAAATATGAATGCAAGAGCTAGACTTCCATGGCTGCTTCTTAAGGGTGTAAACGAAGTATAAAGTGTAAAGTCCCGACAAAAGACTAGCAGTAAGAACAAATGCTAAAGCTATTCAGCAAGCTGCTTATTCATAAATGATAGCTGGCAATTATAGGTGTTCTATGCAAGGCAATACAGCTTAAAACATTTAACATCCTGAATGTTAGTAGCCTGAATTAGTAAAGCAGAAAGAGGCAGCAGCTTCACCTGGCATATTAAAACTAAATATTATTGATTTAAAAATTATTATATATAAATGAGAATTGGACCAAGTCTGTCAAGTTTGTCAAGTTAGAATGTGCTGGAAGAAGGCATTTTGGAACCCTTATTTTATGTGAACTGTTATAAACAGACATTCAGATATTTTATAAAATATATTTATAAATATTTTCCTATTTTATAAAGAATTGAAAGCCCATATGGTAACTTTAAGACACAGCTGTGAACCACTCTCCGCTAGCAAATAATTAATATAATGGACTTTATATTACCAGAGGCCAGCTTTTCACAGGGATAAAATTAAAGGGGTAATCAATGTGGCACATTAGTACTGTGGGCCAAAAGATTAAAATGAGAATAAAAAGTTTTAAGTAAAGAAGATAGTTTAAAAGGGAAGAAAATCCAGAGAGACGCGTGCTTCTTTCAAGTAGCTTGCAAAACATTTTTAGCATGGCAGCAATATTTTAACTGCATGATTTTTATTTCACTGCATGACCAGGTTAAGTTAAAAGTTAAAGCTGAGTTTCCACTGCAAAAGTATATAGTTCCTCTTAAAATACTATTATGCACCAGATTTATAAACATTGTGCCCAGTACAAGACAATACACAGTGCCAGACTTTTATTCATGGTTTATTTATTCTAAGATAAAAGCAGTGCTCAACATTTCAGCATTGCAGAAGTCTTCAGCACTGCTAGAGATAATTCACAAGACCTCTTGAGGTGGAAGTTATCAAATAATAGCATGGCTATAATTTGCTAACTGCAACTTTCACACTGAAAACATAGTCACAAAAGATCTTTCCTTGCTGTGAATACTTAATGCACTACACACTTAGTATTTACCCCGTTTTTAAAGAGTTGCAAGCATTTCCCCATATTTAGAATTCTCCCTCTCCCCCTCCCTGTTCCCAAGTGCTAAACACTCACACACTGGTTTTTGCAGAAATGCTCTTAAATGATGCACTGCTCTCACTGATTTATTCTCCACTCTGTTTACAAAAGAAAATGACAGCAGATTTGTTTCAAAGGGGGGGGGGGTGTCAAGCCTAGAAACTCTGACAGTGTTCAATTCTGAACTTTTTGTCTTGGGATATTTAGTAAAAATGGTTCCAGTATGTTGTAAACTGCCCTGTTATCTTCAGATGAAGGGTGGTACATAAATTTAATAAATAATAACAAAGTGCCTATGCAGAAAAGTCACTTTTCTCAAATTTGAATAATTCACACATAATTCGATTAGGTTTACATATCTCTTTTCAAAATATTTTAGGACTGCAAAGTAAAATCTAAGGAGTGTGATCTAGAAAAGCCTCCCAAATGGCCATCTTTTTTTCTCTTAGACTCATCTGTGGGCCAAAGGACCCTTGTGGTAATACACATTGCAGCACAACATATATAGGCCCCCAGGAAGAGCCAATGTTACACCTTTCATAAAAAGTTTGGAAGGCATTTGATTGTTTAGAATGGGAAGGCAGAAAAAACAAATGAGCACTGTAGCCATGCAAAATACATTGAATAGTATGACATGCATACTATTATTTTTTGCACAACCTTAGGCAAATATTACTTGACCACACTGAAGGTAGAGAGAGAGACATGCCTCTAGTGCCAGAAAATTGGAAATTTCAAATGCTAGTCTAGTTCGGTTTCTGTTTGTTTGTTTTTAAAGGAGAAGCTTGCCTCAACAGCTGTGGGAACTGTTGTAGAGGAAATATATTTAAAAGACCTATCTTTGTGTGCAGTTTCCTTTCAAATAATTTGGGTCACATTCAACATGCCAACTTCCTGATAAATTTATCTGTTTTAAAACAATATTCTATAAATCCAAATTTCTAGTTCCTAAATGCTGCATTCCTTTCAATATGAACATACCAGTTTGATTAAGCTCAGACAAAATTGGAGCACAGGAAATGCTGGTTCCCTGCAAGATATCTTTTGCAAATCAGAACTCAGCCTTGGGTATTCACATTTCCGCCCGCACCCAGAATTATTTCCCGTTCTTTTCATAGAATTAACTATGGTTTTGTTACAAGGTCTATGCAAACAATATTATAAACATGGATTACAAGTTTCAAACCATGCTTGCAATCTCTAGTTTATAATAGGACCATTTTTTGTACTGGTGCACACAAAACACAAACACATGGTTAATACCAGCAAGAGAGGAAAAACCACTCCCCAAAGGGCAAAGAATATCCATTTCTAATGTTACTTTTAAAGGGGTTTAAAATGTTTAATATAATAACTAAATTTATCACATCACCAAAATTAATAAGCTATAGGTGATTCATTTATTCAAACACAAACAGTTGAAACTGACAATGAAAACAAATCCAATTTCCCAGTCTTCAGAATACCTCTGACCTCAAATATATTTACAAACAAATCTTCAACTTTAAAGATACCTATGTACCTCATCATCAGCGTATAAAGAGAGCCTTGGAAAGTATCTTTCCAGATACTTCACCATGTAGAATTCATCATGTAGAATTCCTCGGTGTCATCAATATATCTGACAAATCAGAATACAAAGATAATACACAGTAACCTGGAGACATTTGCTCCCAAGGCTGTTTGAAACAGTAAAATCTGGATCAAGGACAGTTACACAACAACAATTCAGCTTGAAATTTCTGCTGTCAACACAGTGGAATAATAAAATTATTATGGTAAAAATTATTTTTTCTGTAAACTATTAAATATTAATTAAAGTATCAGTTATAGTTATCAGCAACAATTCTATACAACAACTGCTATGACACAAAGTTTGCATCAAGCAACAAATGGTAATAAAGTATAAATAGTTAGATGTTATTTAAAACGAAGTACAGTTGTCATTATCCACCCACCACAATTTACTGTTGTGTATTTGGCAATACAAAACAAGCCTTAAAGGTTACTTACAGCTGTGTTCAATACCTACCTTGTTTTCCATTGTAGATTATATTTTTACACAACAGATCATTGTGACAAAGTACCACTGGGGAACCCAGGTTGGACAGTCTCTCTTTCATCCATGCCATTTCCTCTTGAAGGATTTGAGGACTTGGTACATCAGCTATAAACCTTTTGAGTTTAAGAAAAGAGAGGGCACATGTGTAAATAATCATTTCAAAACTTTCAGACAGCAGTTCTCAACACTTTAATCAGAAATGTGGTTTTCTCCATTCTCTCATTATTTCAGTCTTATTATTCAATAAACAACAACTTCTTCTTCTTCTTTGGTGATCACTAGTAGCCGAGTAATATTGTCTTCCATAAACACGGTTTTAACACAGTCCGTGACTGTGGAGGCCAATTCTGGACCCTCACATCCTTCCACAGTGGGGAAATTGGTTCCCAGGTTAAAATCCCCTAAGCAACATGAAAAGCGCTATGGATATATTTTACATTTCTGAAATGAACATGGGTACAATCAGTTTAACGCTTCCATCTTCATTAACAAGCTTTAGAACGCTACAATCATAGAAACAAGAATAGGCATTCACCTTTTGTGCAACTCCTCATCAGCAAATTCTGTTGGAATGAGAGAGAAGTATTTTCCCATCTTCAACCACAAGTTAGACTTGGGGATCCATCCATTGTGAGCATGAATAGCATGTATTTTAGCAAGCTGTCTGGCTATGAGCCTGCAATAAAGTGAAATTTATACCAGAATAAATCCTTTGTATAATTACAAATACATTATTTCAGCTCGGAACACTGAGAATCTATTAGAGGCACATTAATAGGGTGGGAGGAGGTAACGAAATGTGGTCATTATTAAATGGCAGCTTAGGACCTATTTGTTCCAGCAGGCCTTTGGAGTGACACCATTTGCATAATTATTGCCATTATTAATTATTAATTATTGCAATAATTATTGCATAATTAATTATTACTGTTCACTGCATTTTGTATTGTGGTTCTAATTTTGCTTTTTACACTGCATTTTTACTGTCTGCCACCCTGGGCTGTCGTGAGAGAAGGGGTGGGGTATAAAAATATATATTTTATTATTTTAAAGCACACACAAAAATTCAGTGACTGTTTCTTGGAAGCTGAGGTCATGAGGCTAGGCTAAATAGGCTGAGACTTAATTCAAAAACATGAGTAGGAAAACTGATCTGGGATTAGGTGTACAGTCAGTTCTGGCTGAGGATATGATTTCTTGAAGGATCCAGTATGCAGACTGAGAATGTTCCTGGGTGCTCAAGTGGTATCTGTGGCATAAAACACAACCAGGTTAGTCTACTGCAACAAACCCTATGTGGATCAACCTTTTTTTTTTACTTGTTGAAACTGCAGTTGGAGGCCACTGCGCCAGTGTGGGCCTGTTTTTGGAGTATCTTGCTCCCTATTGTGAGATCAGAATTAGTTGTTTCTGCGCCCAATTCAAGATCCTCACCATCTCTTGTAAAGCTTTAAATTGTTTAGAAGAGAGGTATTTACAGGGCCTCCTACACTTTCACACCTGTTCATGAAGCCTTTCCTGGGAGGCTGTGTAGCGTCCCACTGCCTTCAAGAAGTATGACGAACCAAACACTGGACAGGACCTTCTTGATGCAGCGTCCAAAATGTGAACTCCCTCCCCAAGGAGGCATTGTCCAGCACTTTCCCTTCAGCAGCTGGTAAAGACCATCTCATTTAGAAATGCATAATATCCTGGCTAGCTGTCTCACTAATTAGGCTCCTGGTTTTTGTTTTTGCTTTTTTTGAACTTACTATATTTCTGTACTCAAGACATTGTGCAATTGGTTTATAAATTCAATTAAATTTTAATTTTTCCAATGTATTACCTTAAAAGTCAATTGGGTGCAAAAAATGTTTATAATTTTGATATAAATATAAAATAAATGATGACTTTCCTAAAATTCTTCTATTTGTTTCTACTTGTCTGCAAAAAAACAGGTGTTTCTCACCTGTGGTCCATGGACCCCAGCAGGTCTGTGAACTGAGCACAAAAGGGGAGATCTCCTCCCTGTTACTTTGAAAATTGCTCTTGTTGAGGGGATATGGGGAGGAGGTTCATAGCTTTCAGATTCTCAAAGGCATCTGTGACCCCAAAAAATGTTATGAGCCGCTGTGCTAAATATGATAAATTACACTGAAATACAGTGATATACATGAATCTGAAGGAGTTGAATAGGATTATGTTAACAGGCAGATTAAATGCTCCATAAAGCAAGATCATTCATTACTGACATCTTTAGAACAGCAATTATTGTCCATCAGCACCACATTTTGCTAAGTTTCTGCTCTGGCAGTAACTTCAAAAACTTTGCTTATTGCTTAGGATGTTTCCATGGTCCTTGATGGTTCAGTCGGTTCTATGGCTTTAGCATGGAAGAAACCTGGATATTTGTAATGGCTAGAGCTGAAGTTTTAAACCTTTTTGAGTCCATGGCTCCCTTAACCAACTACAATCTTTCTGCGGCACACCTGTGGGGCTCAGGAGCCCAGTTATGTCACCTGTTGCCTGCAGAGATGGCAGCCTCATACCCTTTTTCGAACACCCTCTCTTGTGGAGTGTTCTCTCCAAAATGCAAACTATCACCAGTCTTAATGAAACTGAGAGCAGCATTTCTTCCAGTGGTCTGAAGAACAAGCCTGATGACTGAACAACTCTGCTAATCACAAAGTCATCAAATTGGCCCTGCTGCCAGTCAAAAGTAAAATGAAACTTTAAAATCTCTTGTGAACGTAAGAAATCTGGCCCTAAATAGTTGTCAAAAAAGACAGGAAAAACCAATTAAGTCTCAAGTGTGCCACAATGTTCCTAGAGCCATCACAGGCTGAAGATGGACAGACTGCCTTCACAATAGTCTAATACAGGGTTCCCCAATCTGGTTTCAAATGTTTTGGACAACTCCCATCTTCCCTTATCCAAGCTGTCTGGGGCTGATGGGAGTTTTGGCTAGAACATCTGGAGTTCATCAGGCTGGGAAGGCCGATCTCACAAATTTGAAAAATTAATTGTATCAATGTCTATTATGTTCCACATAGTCACGTTTGAATGTCCCATGCAGATATTTCTGGAAAAGTTCTGGGAACAAGGAAGGATAGAAAAAGACAGAATAAGCAAACAATCAGATATCTTTGGGTGACAGGGGATGGCCAAACTAGAGAAACAATGGGAAGAACACATTGCAAGACAGATTAAGAAAACTAAGGAGGAGCAAGTCCATGAAAAGACTTCAAGGAAAGACTAAGTTAAATGTGTCAGAGGCAGAAGCAATGGGGAACCAGTAAAGACATTTGAAATGGGTGTGCCACCTGGTTCGAACAATGACAACTGAATTGCTTTGGCAGCCATTACGGACAGAGAAGTAACAAAAGCATGTCAGAAAAAAGAGTTACAGTCGTTAAGATGGCAGGTGACCACAGCATGAGCCAGTGTTTTAGCCAACAAATAGAGGAATGGCTGGGTAACAATACAATACAATATTGTAGCAGCTGCCTATACTTACAGTCAATCATCTAAGTATCTATTCATCCTCAAAAATAGCATGGTCTCAGGAATGGGGCATCAGGCACCAGAGAGCCCTATGGAATATGCAGCATGGAAATATACCTAACATCACTCTTTAGAGAAAAGAGTGCTGAAGGGCTTACCGAAAAATCTCTGGGTTGCAAACATGTTCCGGATCCAGTGCTTCGCCTTCCATAAACTCATAGCACAGGCCGTTGCGGAAAGTACAGTAAAGTTGTGGAGCACAGCCGTGCGCCTGCAACACACGGAAGCTCTTCACTTCTTCCTCTCGATCAACTAACAGCTCTGTTTTATTTCCATAAATTCTAACAAGGACAACATCATCCATTTCCTCACCCACGTAACAGCCAATAAGCTTATTGGTGATTCCATCTGTAAATACCTGTAAGAAAGAGTTAGTCAGATTAGTTTTAATTAAAACTTACTACTACTATCACTACTACTACCACCACTACTGTATATTTATTTATACCCCTCCTATTTCCCCTAAAAGGGCCTCAGTATGGCTTACAGATAAAGCAGGGACAGCTTAGTCATTCATGGCTTCCTGTTTCACAAGAGTGAGAACAGGTGCTCTTTCACGAAGGCAGGACAGACTGACATGCTGCAATGCACCATGGCAGAGCCTGCTTCCCACAATGCTGTGTCTGCCTTTGGTGATTGACAGATTCAGTCCCACAGCAGGAGGATAGAACAAGACAACCAAAATACTCCAAGGAAGGTTGTCAATGAGTACCTGACTACTCTCTCAGAGGTGAGTGCACAAATGCATCCCACCAATCCACACAAATTCAGGTTAGACCTGCAGGACAGGCACTCATCACCAACAAGAACCCTTTATGGCAAGTCCACCTCTTCATTCTTGGTCAAAAGAGGTGGTTGCTCAGAAGCAGTATCTCCAGAGACAAATAAGACAACCTCCTCTTGTAGTGAGTGCTAGAGTATTCTCCTGTGATGAAAGGATACCTTGGTCAAGCCAAACTTGTCTACTTTGTAGTAATGATAAATACAAAGGGATAAGTCCAAGTGGCCACCTTGCAAATGTCTTCCAGAGAAGAAAATATTATCTTTACACATTGGAACGGAAGTACTTCTCAGTTAGCTTTGCAGTGTTCATTGCCACAAGATGTACTGACTGCCACTAGCTTAGAACAGACAAGTGGATGTGTCAACAATGGCTATTAGCTGGGATAACTGAAAATAGAGTCTCTGTTCAGAGACATTGCAAATCCAGCATCAAATGCTGGGAACACACAGAGTGGCTATTGTCACCCCACCCCCTGGCACATTCCCCAGGGCTGCCAACCATTGTTCCTTATAGTGGCAGGATGCTGGACTAGACAGATTTTTCACCAGCTACAGAATGACAATACTTATGTACTCCTCACAGCAGCAAACTTTGTCTCTTGGTACAAGATAAAACACAACTCCCCAAGTGTTACAAGACCACACAAGAAAACATTTTAAATGAACTGATTTGACGGTTTTTGCATTCACAAAAGCTATGAAGATACAGTGGTACCTTGGGTTAAGAACTTAATTCATTCTGTTGTTGTTTTTTAAATGATATTTATTAAAATTTCAGAAACAAAAAATTACATAGTTAAAAATAAAAGAGGCAAGGGAAAATATAGAAAAAAGAGAAAAAACATACAAAATACAAAGTATAGAATTTTTTTTAGAAAAAACACTTAAAAACAAATTAATCCTTCCGTATCTTTCATTTCCTTGCTTCCCTGACCTCCTCTCACCTCCCTTTTTTGTATTCCAGTTCAATTGGTTAATTCAGCAATTCCTTTCCCTCTTTGTTTTTGTCTTAGTCCTTTAACTTAATATATTATAGCTTTAGATTCTCACCTATTAACCATCCATTTTTGCATACACCTTTATGACATTGCTGCTAAAACCACTTAACTTCATTCTGACATCATTCTAACATTCATTAAGAACTTAATTCATTCTGGAGGTCCATTCTTAACCTGAAACTGTTCTTAACCTGAAGCACCACTTTAGCTAATGGGGCCTCTTGCTGCCGCTGCACGATTTCTGTTCTCATCCTGAAGCAAAGTTCTTAACCCGAGGTAATATTTCAGGGTTAGTGGAGTCTGTAACCTGAAGCATATGTAACCTGAAGCGTATGTAACCCGAGGTACCACTGTATTTAATCACACTGATAAGCTAGTTTAAAAAAATAATAATCAGGTTTCTAGTAGTCAGTAGCATAAATTAGTGAAGTCTTCCGCAAACAGAAAAACTGCTCACTCACCCAGTGTCGCCACCCCACCTCTAGCTCCTTGGATTTTATATCCCAAATAGCTGTATGCCATGTGGTTGAATTTATTTAGGATGAAATTGAAAACAGCTTCATTGGCATGTGTTTTTGTATAGTTTCTCACTGATGGATTGATGTTTACACGCAGCTGTTTTGGTTTCTGTGATCTCTTGAACTATACTGTCATGTTAGTTACAGTATAGGGCCCAGGATACACAATATTTTACACACCCACAAAAAGGGATGAATATTCAAGCATGACACAGTATTTCCTAGCATAAAATAATATATTCCAATGCAAAAACTGTATTGCCTAATATAATGGCATGTTTACCAGGGCATGACACTGCTTGAAGAAGTTGCTGAAGACACTATGAATTAAGGAATGAAACACATGAAAAGTCCTGCTCATAAAGTTAACAGCAGAGGCAGACTAATAATAGACATTAAGATAATGATTTTAAGCTATATTGCATATTTATTTGGAATTTATGCCCTTACACAGACCAGAAATTAAAATGAGCAACATGGAATACAAAAATATGATATGAATTGCTGAATTACTAATGTGATTAATGACATACATTAAGGAATTCTACATGCATAGAAATAATCTAAGTTAATGCAGTCTATTCTGACTCTTCAAGCGCCATTTTTCTTGCTCTAATATCTATGAGCCAGGGAGGTCAAGTTAACGGAGGAGTACTGCCAGTTCCAAGGAAGGGGTAACTTCAATCTTTATCAATGTTTAAACAGATGCTACATTAACACTGCCTGCAAAACGTATTACTAATAATTTTGATGAGCCCTGTCTTGTGAAGACCACAGTTGTGCTAGTCCCTTCCACCCTAAATATTTCTTGCATGCTTCCCCCCACCCCCATTGTGGACTGTATCCAAAACTAGCTGATAGTATGAAATTGAAAACAATTCAACACATAAGAGTAAAGATGGTCCAACAGCTACTTATGGGAAACTGCAAAATGCAGTCTTCATTTTCTAAGCTCTACCACTTTCAGCCATTTTGAAGTGGTCCTAAAACTGCTCAATTCTCGCTTGCTGCCTATGTCTTTAACTTCCTCCCAGAATTTCCTCAAACCTAAGACTTTCCATTAAGGTTTAAATCCCCATCCACAAATGAAATAAAGTCTAACTACAAATGCACACATTTGCCCTTGGTGACCCTTATCTCTTATCCCTCATCTCCATATAAATTTAAACTATGGGGTCATCAGGGCAAGGACCCATCCTTTGAGTATGTCATGGTGCTACTGTATATATAGCGGTACCCCATTTTATCCTCCCAGTAATCCAGTGATGTCCATTTGTACCCTGGTCTCCTCAGTCCAAATCCATGGTACTCACTCTACCACAATGGCCATTTTGTGTGAAACACCTGAATAAGACAGTGCAAAGTCAGTGGGCCGCAAGGTTGACAAGTCTTGTTTGACAGCACGGTACCAAAAATAAAGCACTCTAATGCATGGGTGAGGAGCCTATAGCCTGATTCCATCCAGCCCTCAAGAGTCCTCCAGACACTGCAGCCCACTCTGGGAAAGCACAAGCAGGTAGAAGGTTCTTCTCCACAGAAAATGAAGTGAGGTGATAGAAGTGAGTTGGGTGAGGGCCTGAAAAGGTGAAGATTGGATTGGGTGACAATCAAATCTATGCTTGCAAAAGTATCTCTTGGGTCATATGGCCAGCCGGCTGGCCGGCCACACACACTCACATTTTGTGAGTCATATAGCCCTTGTCTACCCTGCTCCATTACTTATGTTAATATTTTCTTTCCTGCAGTTGCATATTTTAGACACTGGAGGTCACTGTGGGACTTTGCTGAATATACTCAGCAATATTCTATTGCCTTTTCAGTAAATCTTTTAAGTACATGAACTTCAGGCTTGGCTGCCTGCTGGTAACAAAGGTATTCCACAAAACAGATGCCTAGGATATGGAGAGCCAAGGTGGGGAGGGTGATTAGTGATTCACTGTACAACTAAGTTACAACACCTCAAACTGCAGTTCTGTCTACACTGTGCAAGTGCCAAATCTGTCCAACAAAGCAAGCCAATTTCAAGTCCACTCACAAAAATTACGCCTATGACACAAGCAGTACTTCATCCAAATTAAAATGCAGGTGTGTTTTACCTGTTTTATTGGTAGCTATAGCGCTGGCTCCCAGCCTCTTGAGCGAGATGAGCGCGCAACCCTAGAGTCGGACACAACTGGCCCATACGGGCAGGGGTACCTTTACCTTTTTTATAGCACATGAGGTGAGTTACCTGGATCAGAATTCAGTTCTCTGCTTTAACAGTCATTATGACCATGAACCAGTCTCTCCTAGCCAACCCGCAGGGTTATTGTAAGGATACAACCACAAAAGAATTTAAAACATTGATGGGGTTTAATTAATTGGTATTTCTAGATGAATTTGTAATACTGTTAAAAGACAATCAGCAGCAATACTCTGAAAGAGGTTTTCATACTTATCCAAATGCTTTAATTGCTGAAGCTAAAGGGTCATTCTTTTAAGTCATTCGTTTCTCCTCAGTGTGCCAATGTGCAAACAATTCTGTTTAAAAGCAAAACAGCAAAATCTAGATCTAAATTACTTTCTCTAGCACCCAGACCCATGCAAACCAAATTATACAATAATCCAGAAACAGAGTGCTATAGCCATTTGCTTTAAAAGGATCATAAAACACATGTTTCAGTTTTCATATGGTGATTACTATGTAGTTGCTCCAGGCCTCATAGTTTGTCACATTGTCACATGACCAGATGATTCTAATATAGATTACAAAATAGCTGTTGCATAATGTCATATAATACATGTCACTGAACTATTTACCAATTCAAGTATTCTATTAACATACTAGTAATAATCTCTTCTTTTTTATTAATAGTACCTGTCTTTCAAAATGGAAAGGAGAAATGTCTTATTTTTACATCAAAAAGGTTATGGTTAAGAGTTATCTAAGTAGAAGCAACTGAATTGTCAGTGCCATAGTAGAAACTTGTGCTGCTAAACAAAACGTCTGGTGTGAAAAAACTAATGAGTATCAGCTCTCATGCAAGCACAGCAGGAAGCCAGATAATTTGACAAGAATTACGTACTAAGGTTTAAGGTGCAAGTGAACAGAACAAGACCATAGTTGACAAGCACAAGAAAAGAATCTTAGTAACGGAAGTCTCAAAAAGTCAGATCACTGGAGAATAGATCCCAAACGATAGAACTACATGAAAGATTTGTCCATAACTCCAGGTTCTAGAATTGAGCTCTGAATGTTAAAAAAAAGTAGCTGGGTAATAGTCACTGAAAATGACAGCGTATCATGCAAGCCAGGAAGTCATGTGACTACATCTAGTTTGAGAGTGCATCCTAGAGGCAGCCAACCTTTTTGAACTCAAGGACACATTCAAAAACCTGAGGTCCCAGAGTAGGTTACAGCAGGGGTTTTTTTTAATAATAATAAAAAACAATATTAAGAACAATTTAAAACAGCTTACAGACCTATACTCAGGTCTACTCAAAAGTTAAGTCCCACTGAGGTGAGTGTGTGTAGGACAGCAGCCTTAGAAAAAAGGAATGTGGTAATAGGTCAAGCTCTATTCTAAACTGTAACGAATGACAAAGGCTGTAATTAAAGATAATCCACTGAGTTGATGTGCATGCACACAAAAGCTTATACCGATAACTAACTTAGTTGCTTTTTAAGGTGCCACTGGAAGGATTTTTTTTTAAATTTTGTTTCAACATGGCTGCCTACCTGAGTTTATAATGGTTAGACTTTTAAAAGGCGAATGCCAAAGCTTAACGTAACTCCAAAATAGCAATTAGTACACTGGCTAAGTGAAACTTGAAGCTGCAATATAATGCTGCTGCTAAGTAAAAAACAAAACAGAACACCCATCTACAATGGAGCTAGTATGCCAACCTTCAGCTAACTTGCTGCAGTTTAGTTTAGGAATAGCCATTTCTGAAAATTCTACAGGGTAGAGACATGGTTCACTAAAAGATATTAAAACAATACAACTGGAGGAAGTGCTGTTTCCCTCTTCAGTTTCACATTCGTATTACCAGAATTTGTTGGCACTTTCATATCTATATTACAATGAAAGACCCACCCAGAATATAGCATGCAAAAAACACTCAACTTCCATGGCCTGGTCTTGAGTGAACTAGTCTTCCCTCAGTTGTCCAGGCTGTACTAATCTTACACACACACAAAATATATATATTTACATTTTTAAAAATCTTATATCACTTTCTCCTCATCATACAACTGAGTGGCTCACAAAGTAAACACCCCCAAACATCAACAGTGTATAAAGCATTTTTAGAAAACCTGTAACCATATATAAATAATAATAAAATGATATAAGGAACAGCACAAGCACATATAAAATTTAAAGCATTCAGCCAAGGGTCTTCTCAAACTAGGTTTTATGACTTCTGTTCTATTATGGAGTAATCTGTCCCAACAGCTGAAAGTTCTCGGTGTACTACATAATACTGTTAGTTAAATCAGCTGTAGAACCATTTATCCTGTTGCAAACTGTTGAATTTTATTGCTTAGATGTAAGCCCTTAATTCATCTAATTTTATATTCGGTCTTCTAATTATTCTACTCCATTTTTGTTTGGTAGGTTGTGTCAACCAAATCACATATGATCAATGGGTGTGTTCTTCAAAACAGCTCACAACCAGATTCACCTCTACATGGGCACTAGCCATTATGTTTGTTCAGCAGAAGTTCCAAACTTCTAGGAGAAAGAGCTTCAAGTAACTATTTGCTACTTCTTTAACAGAAATAGTTGGCTAAAGTATCCTTTTCAAAAAGGCAACACAATAGTCATTCTCCCTCATGCAACACTAAGAAAAATGAGATAATTACTATTTAGTGCCTTCTTCTCAACATGCACAATGAAGAGCAGCAGTCCTCACTGAAAATAGCAATGTGAACCATATATAACTAATTCATCAGGGATGGCGCCAACTAACACTGCTTGTAAAATTAAGTGCAAATGCACTCATTTTCAAGTACATATTCAAAATACATATTTGAAGTGTGAATGAGGACCACCTGTTTGAGAATGCAAATTTGTACTGCGTAAAGAAAGGTACCAGACAGAAAGCTATCTATTTCAGGAATTTATATCTGAAACAAATCCATTTATTGCAGCCTTATATTAAATCACAAGATACCTGTATATGGTAACTAGAAATTCCAAGAATTCTATTCCAGTAACCTAATGGGATGGCATAGAAGGAATGGACTGCTCTGTACCTCCTCTGCCAGATCACTTGGCTCCTATAATAGTTGCAGCGAGGGAGAAGGATTGCACTGTCCCTCATTCACCAACCTGCTTGGCTTCCTTGCTAGAGGAAGCAAAGCCTCTCGTTTTCTGGCAGCACAGAAGTCAACTGGCCACTACACTTTTCAGCTGATAACACTTCAGAAGGCAACGCTTCAGAAGGCATGACCAATATAGAAATCAAGTGGTCTGGCAGTAGTCGTGAACTGCTGCATTTCTCCAAGGCTAGTCATCCATTCTGGATGCATACTCTAGAACACCTAAACTGGATAAATACATTTAATTCACTATGGCTCAATTCAAACAGACTGACTCATGCATTGTGGAATGCCACGGTCACAAACTATGCCTTACGGTGACTGAGCAGCATTTGTACTCAACATTCTCTCATAGTTTGAAGAACAAGCACTCGTTTCTCATGCAAAACTAAGCCAGCACTGTGGTTTGTTTCCTCTTAGCCACAGAGGACCCAATTTGAACAGTGCACACGAGCTTTTTTAAAAACAACAACAACTATGGCTTACTGTAATGTGTAGATGAGGACAATCCTTCAAATCATGATTTGAAGATTGAGAATGTGCCATGGACTCATGCACCCCATCCTATACTTTCCCCCTCACTGTGGATTGCCTCCTCCATGTCTAATTTTCTCTAACAGCTTGCTACAACATCTGAATTGGGCAACTACTTCCAGTCAAGTATAATCCATGTCAAACAATGAATTGGATGTTACAGCTAAAGACATGCATCCTAATGGTCAGGAGGAAACTACATTAATTTTTGTGGTTTTATATTGTAAACTTCCCTGTGATTCTCAGATGAAGGGCTGTATAGAAATATTATTATAATAATTCTAGTACATTCCTGTTCTAGAATATTCTATTTGAATCATACCTAATCATAAATGCTATACATAGCCCCTAGGCCAAAACTAATGCAGCAGTATCTCAGTTTATGAACTTAATCCGTTCTGAAAGTCCGTTCTTAAACTGAAACCATTCTTAAACCGAGACGCACTTTCCCTAATGAGGCCTCCCGCCAATGGTGCCCTTCCACCGTTCAGATTCCATTCTTACTGAGGTAAAGTTCGCAAACCGGGATACTACTTCCAGTTTTGCGGAGTTCGTGAATTGTTTGTAAACTGGACTGTTCTTTAACCGAGGTACCACTGAAATTTAAGCTGTTTAACCACTATTTACTCCTTCTAATGAGACCACCCTCACAGGCATAATTAGTAAGAATGAAGGAGAGGGCTTGGGAACTCTCTCCTTGAGAAGCTAGGTGAAGACTTTGTTCCAACAGGCTTTTGGAAACTGACAGTTTTTAATATGACTAGTGCCATGCTATTTTTATTATAATGATAGCTATGGTTTTAATAGAGTTAAGATATATATGTATTTAATTGTTTTTAATGATTATTTTCTATGTTTTTAACAGTTCTAATATTTATCTGTAAACTGTCTTGAGTCCTACCAGGGAAAAAGATGGAGTATAAATAAATATAATAATAATTATAATATATACTCTCTGTCAGTGATGTGGGGTAAATTTTTTGCAAAACATAATTTTTAATGCTTTATTTTCAAATGGAAATATTTGAACGTATTTCATAAGTTAATTTGTAATAATTTAAACTACAAATACAATATTGTAATTAATGTTTTTAGGTGATTATCCCTAGAAATCATGTCAGAATAAATATCACTGATCTGTAGGCAAAGGGGAAAGTAAAAATAATAACTATCTTATTTTATAAGAGTTTATCTGGATGATTATGTATTGTATTGATTTTTAATTATTGTACATGCTTAGAGCTGTTGATCTTATTTTACTACTGCACTACCTCTTTCAACATATATTTAGAGAGGCAGTATTTATAATATTTAAGTAAATAAATCAAAACAAAAAGAATCCACTTTTTAATGGAATTCACCACACTGACCGCGCAGGTCAAAGGAAATCCCAAGCTAAAAGATTTTAGTACAGGCGTCCCCCCCCCCACTTATGCAGGGGTTATGTTCCGGGCGCCCGTGAAGATAAATAAACACCATGTAAATAGCACCCTCTAAAAGCCCCTTTCTCCTGCTCTACAGTTTTCTCTCCACACATCTCCCTCTTCAACAACAGTTGAAGCTCTTGGGCTGGCGGGAGGCTGCTGCTGCGCTGCCGTGCAAATCAGCTGCTAGGCGGGGAGGCAGAACAGCCTAAACAAATCTCTTTGGTCTCTCTGGGGCTTCCTCTGTCCTCACTGAAGTCCTCTTCAGAGTCCAGGAAAGGTCTCCTTGCAAACAACTAGGATTTTCCAGCTCTCTCCTGCTATTTCCTGGTTTGAATCTACCTATTTATTTATGTATTTCCTGGCACCATGCATATATGCGGTTGTGCACAAGTCACTTATGTGTAATAGGGTGTGTGTGCCTGTAGTGACATCAGACTGGAGGGCCCCTGAGAAGCTAAGTGTAAAAGAAGTGAACTTTGCTGAAATAGATTAGTTGTCATCAGCAAGTCAGAGTTCTTTGAGTTGCTAAATTTAGTGTAAACAAGTTTCAGCAACTTAACTTTTGAGCAGTACATGCTATTTTGCATTTTTATAAGCATTCCAATAAAAAACATTTAAACCACATTAAATGTGAATACTCTAATATAAAATGTTTCAGATACTGGGACAAAAAACTAATAATGATTTGTTTACTAATTACATGTTAAAAAGGCACGCTAAATTAAGTCACTCCAAGGCATGAAATTTTTTCTCTCATTGCCAACTGAAAATTTCCCAAATAAACCTACATCACTGATGTGTATTTTTTAGAAGTACAGACATTGGCAAGCATAAACAGATCTTCAACATCCCTAACCAAGAAGCTGAATAAGCTCTGCAACACACATGTCAGGAAGATAATCCAGTCAAATGTTGAAATTTTTAAATAACAGCTACAAAGCAACTTTTATGAAGACCACAAGCTGTCCCAAAATTAAGACCAACTAAGGAGCCAAGACCCTCTGCTGTCAAATCTGTTTGCCTGTAACCTACCCGATCCAAGAGATTCAGGGCAGATATTTTTTAAAGCTATCACTATAAATGCATCTCTTGCAGTAAGGAACTCCAAAAAGTTTTCTGGCTAACCCACAGAAGGTATATTTGTATAATGTTTTATATCAGCTATATTCTGTTTGTAACCCTTCCCCTCCCACACTTTAAAACAATGCAACTATACACCACAAAGTGCAAAATAAAGCTATTTAACATAGATAGTTCAATTTCTCAACTTAACATGCTAAGTTTATTACTACAATGCAAAACCTCTTTGAGATTGGGTAAACACCCATTTTGAAGCAGAAAATGGCTAGAAGGATGAAGTTGCCCCTGACTTGAAAGACTTGAAAGAGAGACAAGAAAGGAAGACAAGGGGTTATATCTAATGCTAGCCATACATGGAGAAGACCCATTGAAAGGATAGGACTAACTTAGATTCATTAATTTCAGTGGGTCTGAGTGTAACTTAGTTGTATGCAAGCTTATGCCACTTTATTCAGGCTTTCCTTCAGAAAGTTTTGCCTTTATTTCCTATGTGCTGCATCAATGCAATAGTTCATTAACACCTTTCCTTGAGGTGAAAGTGATAACCTGAAGCTGCCCCATGCTTAATTATTCAGTAGAGTGCGAAAGATTTGACAGGGACAATGTTGTTTGGGGAAAACGTGAATAACTACAATATGCTCTCTGAGAGAAAATACAGAAGAGTATTCACTCAACTCCTGCTGCTTTATTATTGTAATGCTTAAATCCCTCTACAAAGAAAAGTGCATTGGGGAAAGGGTGGAGGAACATATTGTCCTCCCAGCATTCCTTTGAGTTAAAACTTGACAGAGAAATTCAAGTTTTTCTTATGGTTTTTCTGGAAAGACAAGGAGATAAAAGAATGCTGACTTCCTCAATTGAGATTTGTATGGATGTTGTGTGCTTGCTACATGGCAACCCCTTTGCCTCTCAAGCTATACACTGCAAAAGCCTACATGGCAACCTATACTAAGGAACCCAGCCCTACCCCCCATCTCTCTTGTTCCATTTTCCTCTTCCTGCGAACTAGCATGTTTTATGTGTGATTTTTGCACAAATCAGTTCAGGGTGGATCCCATTTTAAAACAATCATAACCTCATGAAACAGGGTTGGGAGGGGGAAGCAAGAGAGAGAAGAGATGAGCCCTGTGGAAAGAGAGAAGCAAGAGGTGAGGTTTTTTTAAGGAAAGGTGAGCAGGGAAAGCTTATTCTCCCTTTCTCTATATGCATGGTATACACACCCACAAGTACACATAAGACTTCAGGCTATACTACAAGAATACAAGCTCACCAACACACACGCAACTCCCTGCCCTATATCCTTCAGGCTATATTAATAGAGTACAAGCTCAGTCAGATACAAAGGTGTTATCACATGTGCACTCCTCCCTATTCTGCATCCTTTGAGCTACGCTGCTGGAATAAAAGCTCAAACACACCTACAGGTATCTCTCTCTCACACACATAGCACACATGTATATTACTACCATGTCACATAAACACACACACACACACACACACACACATATATATATTACACACAAGTGTATTACACACACATGTATTAAACCCAGGCATATCATATATGCACATATATATTACATGCAAGGATGTTACACACTTGTATTTAATATGCGTGCATCACACACACACACACCTGTATCACATACATACACTACACGCAGGCATATCACTCTCTCTCACACACACTCCTCCCCATCGTGTATCGTCTGAGCTGTTACTAGAATATAAGCGCTCTCTCCTTCTCTCTAACACACAGGCGTATCACGCCATACGAGCACGCACCCCCTCCCCCCCCAGCTCTATAATTAGAACACGGCTCGGGTTCCGACTCGTCCGCCTTGCACAGAAACGTGCGCGTGTGAGCGCGCGCCTCCGTGTAGTCCATGTACGAGTTGGAACCGCACGGGCACAGCGCGCACGCCCAACCTGCCTGCTCCTCCTTCGGGCTGCGCGAGCTGAATGGAAGCCGAGGCTGCCCGAGCCGCTCTCTCCCTCTCTCTCTCTCTCCTCCTCTCTCATTCTCCCCCTCAAGAGGGAAGCGCTGAGGAGAGACAGAAAGAGAAAGACAGAGCCGCCGCCGCCGCCGCCGCTCCTACTCCTCCCTCGCCTCGCCTCGCCACAATGGCTGCCCGCCATCTCTCCCCCTCCCCACAACCTGCCTCCTCCTCCTCCTCCCGCTTCTCTCTCTCTCTTTCCCCCCCTCACAGCCACCCTCCGCCGCTTCGCCTCAGCCGTTACCTTCAGCGTCACCTCCTCGGGCTTCCAGGCGGGCCTCAGTTGGCTGAGGAGACGGAGGGCCCCGCGGCGGTAGCCGGGCCCGCCTCCTCCTCCTTCTCCATCGCCGCCGCCGCCGCCTCCCGCCCCCGAAGCGGGGTCCCTCTCGCTCACGACGACGTCCAGCTTCGGCACCTCAGGCGAGCCCGGCGGCACGTGGATGTAGTTGGCCATGGAGGCGGCGGCGACGGCGGTGGGCGAGCGCAGGCGGCGACGGAGCCTCGGCAGCAGGGCGAGACGGCGGCGGGCGAAGAGGAGCGGCGGCAGTAGCAGCAGCGTCGTCGTCGTCGTCGTCACGCGAGCGGGAGCAGCCGGCAACTGAGCGGCGCGAGACCAACTGGCGGAGGGAGACAGCCAAAGAGGCGGCCGACGATTGGCTGGCTCGCCTTTCTTTCTCCTCTCGCTCTCCTCCCTCCACGCCCCTTTCCCCGTTTCCTCGGATTGGGAAGGGGAAGCTCCGCCCCACTCCCACCAGCCTATTTATAGATGCGGGTTTTCTGGTAGGCCCCGCCCTCGCTTTTCTCCCCCACAATGCTCTTCTTCGTTTTCACGCGGACAGAGACACACACACACACACACACACTCTCTTCGCAGACCTCTCCGCCGAGGTTCTCTCGCCGCGGGGCATGCCGGGAGAGACGGGTGTGGGCGGGGCTGGTTCTCTAGAGCGCGGGGGGCGGGCCCCCGTCAATGGAACGCTCGCGACTTTGCTGTCAATGGAATGCTCGCGTCTCCGCCCTTCTCTCCCCCCCCCCGCACCCAAACCTCCCGCCCATTCAGTTATATGGTCCACAATTGGCGTGCCTTTTTCCCAGACACGTTTTTTTCTCCGATGACTCCTTTTTTTTTTTGTTGCCAAAAATGACAGAATTACAGAGTTGCAAGGGACCCTGCCCCAAGTCCTTTAAGGACCTAGCAACACCCCCAGCAAAGGGACCAGCCGTGGGGCGGGGATGGCTGACGCTCAGACATTTGTGTACACAGATTAGACGCTCATTGAGTGTGACGTAGGAAGATTCCCTTTGTAGATTTGCACAGCTCGGCTACGGTGTCCACAGCCGCAGCGCACACAGATCATACTCTTGCTGCGGAAAATTACATGAGAACATTGCAGCTCAACTGGTATCCACAGGCTTTACACTTGAACATAGGAATAACTGTGCAGTTCCAGTGATTGCATACACTTGAATGTTACGTGTGAATAACATTTTATGAGTGCACAGCTCAAGTAGGGCTCATTCCACCAACTTTGCTAAAAGCCCACTGTGCCAGATGGTCATTGCAGGAACAACTATTTAGAAATTGGTGTCCGACGTTTGATTTTTTTTTTCCTCTTCCCTTCCTGTCCCTTTTTCCTTGTGTGTCATTTTAAAATAAATATTGTAAGCCTGTGGGTAGGGACTGGGGGTGTGGGTGTGGGTGGGTGTAAACCACTCTGGGAGGCTTTCAGGCTGAAGAGCAGGGTACCAGTGCTCTAAAACAAACAAATGGATTTAATGCAACACTTAAGTCTTCCTTACGTCTTACTCATTTGAGGCAGAGTTGCCATGATCACAGTTTGATTAATCATAACAGAAGGAGGAAATGGGACTGCACATTGGCTCAGCTGAAAGATCAGCACCCATCAGTCTCCTCCTATGACTGTCATAATATGGCAGCCATTCCACTGAGAAAGAACTACAGGGCCTCAGGTGAGAGACCAACAACTTTCAGCTCTTCCTTTCCCCAAATACTGTTTCCAGTGGGTCATTACAAAACCCCACAACTAAGACTGAGTTGCCTGAGTTTATCAACTCCCAGACCTCCTCCTCCCTACAACTCCTTTTCCTTTTGTGTCCTGTCTTTAACACTGCAAGGCTGTCAACTGTCTTTTTTGTGGCGCATCAGCAAAGTAAAAAAAAGAATGCTTCAGATAAAATAATAAGACCATCACTTTGCAATCCCCTTGCAGTTTTTTGATAGCTCAGTCGGTAGAGCATGATACTTTTCATTTCAGGGTTGTGGGTTCGAGCCCCATGTTGAGCAAAAAGATCCCTGCATTCCAGGGGGTTATGCTAGATGACCCTTGTGACCCCTTCCAACTATGGATTTCTAGGATTCTAGGACTGGGATGAAAAAAGAGAAATGAGCTTATTGAGCAATTGTATCCTTGTCCATACATAACACAGGAATGTGTGCAACCTCAAAATCTCCAAAGAACTTTCAGGAGCTGAAATTCGGGGCATGACGCAGACCAGATTGACTTGTACATTCATTTTGTAATGGCTCAAGGCTGGATTGATGGGTGTGTCCAATGTTCGTGAAAATGTGCAGAGTTCATTTTATCTGAATCATTTTGAACCTTGTCCCTATATTGACTTGAAAGCTTTCTCTCCCCCACCCCCTGCAGAGGATATTCAGCATATCTAACCAGGCATTTGCACAAGTCATTTACTTCCAAGTAAATACACTTCTGTCCCAGACATAAGTCTTCTTCATGTGTCTTCTTCAGCAACTATTAACCCTTCCATATTTACACAATGCTATTCACTCCTTCATCCACTTAGTATTACTGTATTCTCTACTTAATGACTGATCCCAAAAAGAGAAAGAGGGACCTGAGGAAATGATTAATGAAAGCGAGATGGTTATCTAGTGGAAAAAAATGTGCCATTCAAATGCAAAAGATTAACCCTGCAGCACAGGTCAGGCAAACTCTCATCAACTAATAGTTTAGCTATTAATGGTTGCAAAGTAAATTACAGCCCCTGACGCAACTGCATTTACTGCCAAGCACAGTGCATGGCATCACTGCATGCTTATGTAATTGCTGGCTCCTTTCATTTCATTTATGTTTATGTTATATGATTGTCTGCTTCCGTAGCATATTTCAATCCAGAGTCCTTTCCTTTATTGGTGTATGTGCACCCCTAACCTATGGTTACCAGATGTCCCTGTTTCCCGGGGACAGTCCCCAGATTTACAAATCTGTTGCCGGACAAAATCCATCCCCGGAATGTCCCCGGATTTTACTTAATGTTCCCGGATTTATATTTTAAGTGTTGTAGATTTATTAGTAGGGAATGTATGTTGCGTGATTGGTTCAACGGCACAAGACACATCGTATGGGGACTTCCGGAGAGGCAAAATGGCGGGCTCCATGGCAGCGAGCAGCTCCTGAAGCCAGCCAGAGCCAACTGCACTACCAGGCTGGCTCCGGGCTGCTGAGACTGCCGCTGCCGCGGGGGAACCGGGGATGCCCGGCGCATCAACTGGGGGAGCCGCAGATCCCACCTATGACCCAAATTGAGGCAGGAATGAGAGCACCCAGCCACCTGGTTGACTGCCCAACAGCACTCGCAGGGAGAAGGAGGAGAAGGAAGAGAGAGAAAGAGGAAGGAGAAAAAAGTGGGGAGCCCCGACCCTGCCGCGCTGTTGCCTCTGCCGCTGCTGAGGAAGAGAAGTAGGAGAGCACCGGGTGAGCAAGGACAAGTGGCCGAGCCCAGGCCCAACCCAAGCCTACTCCATGGCAGATAGCACTCCAAGAGATCAGGCAGGGGCCCAGAGGAAGTCTGCGTGACAGAGGAGACCCAGAAGAGAAGATATTACTTCTTTCTTTCTTTTTAATGATTTTTTAAAAATAACTTTTTTTCTCTCTCTCTTTTTTTTTAAAGTGTCTCTGGATTCTTGGGGGGGGGGGGGGAATCTGGTAACCTTACCCTAACCCTTCTGCTGCAGTTCTTAATGCTTTATCTTTATGCTGTGTTTTAGCTTGATGACACATTCTTGAGTTAGGCAATAAGGTTTTGTTGTTTTAATGTGTATTGTGTACATGGGTAGCCATGAGTTGTTACAGGAAAACATAAATGTTGCTGCAAGGCTGATCAAAAAAGGGCGTTGGCACATGGAACCCTTTTGTAGTGTAGCAGCATTAGAGATAATCCAAAAACAAGTAAACCCCTTTAAGATACAGTGTTGTAGTGGTCCAGGGTCATTGGGGGACGGGCGACCCTTACTAATTTCCTCAGCAGAGCCCCTGCCTCCAGCATCTTAAAACCACCCAGTCAGCATGGAAGGGGAGCCTTTGAACCACTCCAAAGCTAAGTGTTTAGGTGCTTTAAGTTTCAAGCAAATGGTGCGCATGTTCCGTAACGGACAATGGCATGCCCTCTAAGCAGCCCTGTTTTCCAGGAACAGTCCCAGAATTACAAAAGCCCTCCTGGCTTCTGAATTGATCCCAGAATGTCCCTGTTTGCCCCGCTCAGGAAGGAGGATCACCAGCACTTGTCTCCAGCCTCCTCCCTTGGGCAGCTCACAGTGGCTGCTGGAGAACAGGTGAGGACGAGGAGAGGCCACACCAAGGCCCAGCCCCATGTGATGGGCTGGCTCTGAGGTGCAGGCAGAGGACAGGCCTACCCTGAGCAGGAAAAAGGAGCGGAATGGGGTGCAAGGGGTCTTGGTTTTTTAAAAAATGCCTCTGTAATAAACAAAAATCTGCCCTTATTCCTTTATGGGGGACACAAAAGCCCTCATAGAGTCCTTTGTAGGTTCTCCATCAGTAGGAGAAGATAACAGAGGCCAACCAGAGAATATTGAGAAGCAAAGCAGCTAGTAAGCCTGATCTTTATTGAACAACAGGGTGCAACAGGGTGGTCCCCTCACCCGCAGGAAAGGGCAGGCACACCTTGGTTCTGAGTCAAAATGGTTTCAGAGCGGTTTTCCTGTGCTGCTCCAGATATGTGGTCCACATATCTATGTACGTGCTTGGTTGGTACATTTATGAACATTATATATATATATATATATATATATATATATATATATATATAACCTTAAAAAAAATTGTTACACCATGTGCATCCACATCTAATCTTGCCCCTTTCTAAAATGTATTTATTGGCGTGTTTTTCTTTTTTTTGGTAAATCTTACCTGTGTTAGCAGCACCAAAGTGATCTCTCCGGGAAGCAAGCCTGGACAGTGTATATGAAGGTCCTGGGCTGCCCAGATGGCAAGACTCCCCTCTTGGTCTCACTGACATGGTCCAATGGAAAGCAGAGCAATACGTTTGGCACCAGCTTGGCTGGAGGAGTTGCTGTGTGCCAATTTCATTGTTTTCAACGTGCTCTTTGGTCCTAGCACTGTTTTGTATTTTTCAACATTATTTTATTGGGGTTTTAAAAAACTCTACACTGTAAACCATCTTGCAATTCTTTTATAATTCAAAAGGTAAATGTGATAAATATGTAAGTGTGAAATTTAACAAGTTTTCACCATCAGCTTAATACTTAAAAAAAAAAAAAATACCTGAAGCTTTTTATGTTTAGTACATTTGCTGCTCCTGGTTTTATTTTTACAGCTTCTCTTCCTGCTTTATAGATGTATATTCTAGAAATAGTTCTTAATGCCACAACTAGTTTGCTTTTGATGAGTATGAGCTGCCCTGAAAATCATGCCCACTTTTCTTCCAATGTTCTGTTGTATCTAGAAATTGCCAGGGATCAGATGACTGACACAACTCTCCTGCGAAGAAAGGTTACAACAGTTGGAGTTTTTTAGTTTAGGAAAAAATTATTGAGGCTGCATGATAGAGATTTGTAAAAATGCATGCATGTTGTGGGGAAAACAGATAGAAGTTTTCTGTTAGAACCTGGAGTCATCTGATGGGGTCGAATGGTGGGAGATTCAGCACAGACAAAAGCAAAACGACTTACAATTTATTTATTTATCCAAGGTTATATACTGCTTGACTGTAATAAAACCTCTAAGCAGTTTACAGAAATGAGACGCTGAAATTATTAATAAAAGGCAGGTAAAAACAGTTATTTAAAAACATTAAGATTACAGAATCAACAATAAGCTAAAAACAGATTTAAACACATGCAACGCCTACTTGTCTGGATAGTCTTGCCCATGGATAGGCAAACGAAGGCCCGGGGGCCGGATCCGGCCCAATTGCCTTCTAAATCTGGCCCGCGGACGGTCTGGCAATCAGCGTGTTTTTATATGAGTAGAATGTGTCCTTTTATTTAAAATGCATCTCTGGGTTATTTTGGGGGCATAGGAATTCGTTCATTTTTTCCCCTTCAAAATATAGTCCGGCCCCCCACAAGGTCTGAGAGACAGTGGACCGGTCCCCCGCTGAAAAAGTTTGCTGACCCCTGGTCTTGCCTAAACAAAAATGTTTATGCAAAAGTGTGGGGGTGGTGTCTGTCTGATGTCAATTGGCAGGAAGTTCCAAAGTGCAGGTGCTGCCACGCTAGAAGATCAATTTCTCGCAAGTGCCAAACAAATATCTTGCAGCACCTGCAACAGTGCCAGTTCTGCAGAATAAGGGGGTAAAGGCGTAAGGTGATGCCATGATCTAAAAT